CCCCCCCGACCTGGAGTGGGCAATATACCCTTTTCCGGCTGAGGACCATGGCCTCAGACTTGGAGGTGCTGATTCTCATCCCAGCCGCTTCACACTCGGCTGCAAACCGTTCCAGCGAGAGCTGGAAGTCACTGTTCGATGGAGCTAGGAGGACCACGTCATCCGCAAATAGCAGGGACGGGATCCTCCTGTCACCGAACCTGACACCCTCCACCCCTCCACCCTCCACCGTGCCTAGAAATTCTGTCCATGAAAGTTATGAACAGAACCGGTGACAAAGGGCAGCCCTGGCTGAGTCCAACCCTCACCGGGAACAGGTCCGACTTACTGCCAGCCACGCGAACCAGACTCGTGCTCCTTCGGTACAGGGACTGGATGGCCCTTAGCAGAGGGCCACCAACCCCATACTCCCGGAGCCCCCCCCACAGGATGCCCCTGGGGACACGGTCGTAAGCCTTCTCCAAATCCACAAAACACATGTGGACTGGTTGGGCGAACTCCTATGCCCCCTCCAGCACCTTGGCGAGGGTAAAGAGCTGGTCCACGGTTCCGCATCCGGGACGAAAACCACATTGCTCCTCCTACGTAAAAACATATGACTATGATAATTTGAATGCACTCACTGGTGATTTTGTTGCTCCTAGAAATATAAATGGCTGCAAGAGGAAAGGTCATGGCATCAGAGCAATCAAAGGGATTCATCCTCTGGGGAGCATGGTTGTGATTAGTAAATGTCTTGGTAGATTAAATTAGATTAAGTTCTGTTGGTTTCATTTACTTTATCAGCGCACTGGTCACGTGATTACAACCTTTCAAAGTACATGGGATATGTACAAAATTGGGTGCACTGCTTTTGTACAATTTATGAGAACAGCTTCAGAGAGTCCCTCAATTAAAACCCATGAATATACTGCATCATATTTTATGAACAAAAGTTTTAAAGAGACTTTAGATCCAAATTGAATGGATGGAATTAACACCCACATGACATACTTATTGCCATCATTAGAGCCTACCCCTGAAAGATAAAAAGACAGTATCATGTCTACAGAAGACCACTAAACTCTGTCCTGTCTTCATGAATCAAAGCAAAACTCAGGCTGGAGGTAAAGCTGTCGCTGCAGGCTCATTCGGGCACGTCCAACAAATCTTCAGTAATTTGGTGACCAGAGGCTTTGGGGCACCAGAGGCATGCCGGCAACCAGAATTGTCAAAAGGGCTGATTTAGAGCAGTAAATTATCCAGTGTTGCAGTGAATGGTATTAATCAGAGCCAACCACGTTAGCACTGGAGTCCTGCAACCCTACACTGTAGAGACACTGAATGTCATCATGTGTTATTTTGAAGGCTCAAATCAGTATTTCAAAGGCATTTTTTAAGGAATTAATTAGCTTTTAACAGTATATTAAAAATTTTTTTTTTTTAATACATATTTGTATATCAGTTAGTCATGCTGTTCATTCAAAATACAAAGGTTTGGGAAGTACTGAGCATACAGCTGGATGGATGAGACTTGGATTATACTGCACAAGTTGTGTGTGAGTTTGTAAAGTGATGTTTTGATAGAGTTTTGCTGTTGTTAATTGGGGTCCCCGATCAATCAAGTCAATATTTTTGCTGTTTTCCTTGGAGGCATGCAAGAAAAACAGTTGTCTTGATAAATTCAAGGTAACACAACCACACTAATTGATATATAAATGACCATTTTGTGTGTGAAGTATTCCTTTAATCAAATGGTATATTGAAAATTGCCATTTTTTTCTGTTGTTTCCCATAGACACTGTGCATCAATTAACAATGTATACTGGGAGTTACATGCATTTTGTAACTGATTATATTTTATTGTAATCTTTGCATAAGTGCCAGCTTTTAGAATGAGTTTTTAAATGTTTCTTTTTTTTTCTTGCCTGTGCTCTGTTGCAGACGTGCCATCATCGCCAGAAATTACGCTAGTGGAACCTTTCTCCAGCACCGCAGTGGTGAAGTTTGAGGAGCCTGACTCCATGGGTGGAGTGCCCATTATCAAGTACAGAGTGGAATGGCGTTTGCCTGGCCAGGATTGGATTGGCAGTGAGCACAATGCTAAGGACGGTGAGTCCAACATCTCTCCTGAGCAAAGTTCACTAGTTGGTTGTTTTCTGTATCAAAGGCACATGTACGAATCTGTGACGTCTCTATAGATTTAAAGGAAGCTCATATAGACTTTTTTTAGCACCATATTTTCTCATTGACAACTGATCACAAACACCTGCTGTGACGTAGATTTTTGCTCAGTGTGATTCAGTGTTGAATTGCTCTTTTAGTCCCTGAGTCTCCATGCATTTCCCTTGAAAGCCTGGGAAAAAATACTTGTAATCAAGCAAAGTGGATGCAAGGGATGTTATTAAATTCTCTCTTCAGGGTCAGTGTTCTCCGCGGTCCCTTAAGATGCATCACCTGCATCAGCTGCACCTTGGTACCGCCATTAAGCTATTTAAATCCTTAGCACCAAGCGACGCATCTTGCTTCAAAAGTCATCTCGCAGAAGACGGTTCTACTCAGTCTCCAATGTGTGATGATAAATAACAGAAATCAGTTTAGAAATTCTGACTGTTAGTCATAAGACTTTAACTCTTTGAGTACCAAAATAATCCACATATTGTGATTGTAACAGTGCAAAGACACTTTTCGTGGAGCAGCTTTCACAAAAATATAATATTTCTTTCATTTATTGTGCAACTTCAAGCGAATACACACTAACTACACTCCCTGCGTCTCATTCCTGAAATCTCTAAGGACATCCGCACACAAAAAACCTGAGTACTAAAAACCTACTTAATGAACGCGGTGGAAAACTCTGGTTTGCCCGTAGGCACGTGTGTATGTTCATGAATGCCAATCAATCGTAATTGACAGAGTGCACCTGCTTGCCAGCAATTAGCATACATCCCCACCCATGAACAACAAGTGACCGCCATATAAGGACATGATAATTGCTATGGATAGGTGCATCCTGCGAACATGGAGCAATTGAGAAAAAGAAAAAGAAATATTTGGCCAACACAGAGATTGAAGTTAATTTAGGTGAAGTGGGGTTGAGATAAACATTTTATTTTCTTCTGTTATTAGTAATGTGACAAGGACAGGTAAATCAAAGGCCGGAAGGAGGTAACAGGTGCCATTAACTCCATGTCCTCTGTTGTAAGAACCATCCAAAAAGTTAAACAAAGATAGTTCCGACAGGAGACAGCTCTCTGCTGTAGACGAGCGCCTTGCTTGCCCCTATTAAAACATCTTAATACAGGCAGTATAATGTCGGCAATAACCCATTGTTAAGTTTAATAACAAGTAACAAGTACGTTCCTAAAACACCAACTGTCAACTCCATCCATTCATATACAGATATTGACTGTGTGTTGAAAACTTGTAGGCATACAAGCAAAAAAACATCATAATTATCATAGTTTTTATTATTTTGGAGTCTATTTATTTAGAGTGCATCTCCCACATGAAGGAAATATGGGTCAAAGCCGCAGAAAACACTTGTGCTAGCAACAACAGTTAATCCAAACATGACAGTAGCTGATGTCAGGAGGAGAGGTGGAACACAGCGTAGCCTAAATGACAGTCAGCTCACACACTGACAGGCCCCAGATAATATCCCCGTCCCACTGAGGGTTTGTGGCTCTTACAAATCTGGATGGTTCTCTTCTTGTCTGCCACATGGGACGTATCAGTCAGTGGCTGACAGCCTCCACTGTCAACTCAAGGCCCAAGAGCCGCCTGTCATGCACAAAACAAAACACCCACACAACAACTGTAAAGGTTACCAAAAATATCTCATTCAACCACATCAACCACCCCACACACCCAAACCTTTCCAAAGCACACATATACTGAATGCACCATGTGTGTTTGGACTGCGCATGCATACATTTGTTATAGTATATATATAGTACTAATACGGCAAATCTGGATTACTAACAGGTATTAAAGCTACAACATTAAGCTACATCTTACACCAGGGAGGACTTGAGAAATTTGTGACTGATAAAGAATTATCAAGTGGCTAAAATGTGTCAATAAAAAGGACATAGAGTTGAAAGTGTCTCACAGTATTGTGAACCAGGGCTGCCATCACATGTTTGAAAGCAGTACTGCCAGATATAAATACCACACCCATCACTGTGGCTTCATATATGACTGCCTACAGCTGCAGTGTGCACTTACACGAAGCTACAAGTCAAAGTACACCTGCTTTGCTTTCTACTGCACCCTGTTGATCTGGCTATTAACTCTTCATATTTTAAGTTTTATGCATCAGATATCTTTGTTTGCCTGTTTCATATATGGTCTGTAGGGTACATTAATACATTGCTGCTAAATTTATAATGCAAATAGATTAAACATACCCATCCCTGCTGCACCATAATGGCAGTAGGCTTGTTGCCCTGTCCTTAAAACAGGAATGTGCAAAGGAAGTAATGAATTAATTGCTATTGTGCCATTTGTGTGACTCTTACACTGCTATATTTAGTTACACTTTATATTAATATGTACGCCTGTAACTAGTTGCTTATTAGCATGCATATTAGCCCTTTATCATTCATTTTAAAGCATTATAAAGCACGTATTAATGCCTTATTCTGTATGACTACTAGGGGTGGGGGAGGAAAAATCGATTTTTAGATGCATCGAGATTCTGTCTTGAACGATGTGAGCATCGATTTGGAAAACTAATAATCGATTTTAATTTTATTTTTAGATTTATTTTTCAAATTACCGTAACTCCTCGACCATTCACGCTATCGACGTAATTCCTACGGATTCTGAAAGCTGGGAAGCGGAGCTTTTCAGCGATATACGGTAGTGACGCCATTACCTGTGGAGGAGGGGAGGGAAGTGGGCGCAGCAGGAGGAGAGTGACAGCTGACGAGGAGAGTGCGAGTTGGAGTGATTTAGTGGTGTTTTAGCGGAGTTTTGGTGAGTTTTAGTGGAGTTTGGGTGGCGTTTTCTTTGTAAATAATATTTAGTGTTGTAAATAATAGCATTTGTGGTTTTTTGAGAGGTTTTGAGTTTTTTTATGCCGTGTTTTTGGGTGTTTTCGTCGTGTTTTCACCATAGTTCGTAGTATTGCCATCGTTCGTCTTTTTTGCAATAGTTCGTGTTTTTATAGTTCATAGATAGTTATAGTCAGTTAGAGTTTTGTAAATGCTGGAGGAGAAATGTCGAGGAGGTCTGACGAGGGACAGGACAGTCCCGTTGAGATTTGTGGATGAGGAGGATGGACCTGAGGAGACTGGTGGAGTGAAACAGTTACTCATCTCAACCACAGTAAGTAATAGGCCTACGGTTTGTATGCACTGGATATGCATTCCCAGCTTTATTACAAAAATGTTTTTCAATATCTAGTGTAAATTTTCATATTAGCTCGTTTTAGAATCGAGAATCGTTTTATAATCGAAATTGTTGCCCTCAGAATCAGAATTGTCGTGAGGTGCCTAGACATTCCCACCCCTAATGACCACATTCTACATCTGCTGTGCCATACACATAAAGAGTTTTCCATCAATAACCTCCTTATTACTGCTTATTAAAAGTAAGTAAGGAGGTTGTTGTACATGACTAACAATCTCAATAGGCTTTGCTCAGTGTAAGCCTTATAAGGTGATAGTACCACAAAAAGAGTCAGGCCCTGGCCACACAGAAAGTGTTTTAGCAGCTGGAGGCGCCTTTTTGTAATTGTTTTTAATGAGAATGAAGCTTTTTGCTCACTGTTTTTGCATTGCAACGTGCCTCACTTTTCTGCGCTCTAGGCACCTGGCGTTATTTGCCTGAGTGCTCTGAACTCCTCGAGTTGAAAAAACTTAAGCTCCAGGTGAAAAAGTGCTCTTCATCATCATCTCTTTTTTCCATCATGTTTTTTTTCCCATTGTACAGTTGGATGATTTGAGAGGCCGGCCCTCTGTGGTGGTCATGACAACAAGTTTACAGTTGGAGAAACTGGTGGTAGTGGTTGCTGGATACCAGGGCTTGACGCTAACTTTTTTCCCAAGGAGCACATGTGCTCCTAAGTTGAAAAAGTAAGGAGCGCACAAAGAACTTTTCCGTAATAAACGTGATGCAAATAGACATTTACAAGCAAAATTATTTAATGAATGTGTATACAAAATGTACAGAAAGGTAAAATCATCAAGTTTTGAAAAAGTATTGCAATTTAATTTTGTCTTTAATGTTATTATCTTATATATATTATCTTTGTAATATGATTATCTTATATAATGTTATTACTATCCTAAAACATTCTCCAGGTCCTCTGAAACTCTGCAGGACTTAAGCCTCTTTCACACAGAGCTTTCGCGGCACCCACCGCGGGGTAGGGCGCAGAGGACAGGATTTGGGGGAGTACAGGCTCGTTCAGGAGCTACAGCTCCATGGTGACAGCTTTCGGGTCTACTTCAGGCTCTGCTCTGCTATTGGATGCGCCGCTGAGGTGTCATCGCAGTGCGTTGCGGTGAAATTAAAAAAAATTCAATTCGAGCGCAGGCTGGCAGCGTGCACTGCTCAGCTCGGCGGCAGAGCCTGACAAAGCGGCACCGCTACCCTTGGTGTCGCGCACAATATTCATTGTGCCGACAGTGGCTTGGAAAACCGCCCATAACCGTGTCACACGGGGAAGAGGGAAGAGGGAAGGCGGCTGGAGTTCCTCCAACAGTTGCGGTTAGATTATCATATTTTTTTTATTGACAAAAATATAGGCTGCTTCGGCTGATTTTTTTATGCTCACATGTGCCCCTAAATATTTTTTACAGTTCGCACACATCTATTTTTAGTCGCAAATGCGAGTGAAATGCTCGCACTGTCAAGCCCTGGATACCCAGAGCTATACGACCTGACGACAGACAGCAGGTTGTCAAACTGCCCCTGAGTCATCCTAAAATATGCCTGGAAATGTCCATCATGGAGGAGAAGCTCCTGGACCAACTGGTGGTACTCCCCATGATCCAGGTCAGGTTTTTGTGAAAAACCGCATCAAGTCGGTAATATCAGATTTTCGCCACTTGGGGGCGCAATTGACTCATTTAAAATAAAACACGACCGACAAATAAATT